TCAATAAAAAATGTAGAGATTAAGCTCCAGGACTTTGTTGCTCTGGTAATAAAGTTGCTAGATAAGAAAAAAAAATTTTTTTAATGTATATTTTTGGGAGTTTAAAATCTTAACATCTTTAAAAAATAGCCCTTTCCGAAAATTACACGGGAGTAACTGATAATCAACCGCTTCTTATGTCTAAAGATTATTTTATGGCATAAGGAACGCACGATACTTTTTAGCATAATTATATATTTCTTAATTTTTACACCTTATTATTTGACCAAATAAACTATATGGATTCTGAAAAAATATGCTTTTAATTAGAAGATTTTTTTTCTGAGATGTGTCAAGAATATGTGTAAAATTTCTAAGTGAAAAGGTTTCACATCACATGTCAACACACTACGGTGTTTTATTTAGTAAGTCTCGGGCGAAGCCGAGACGGGGGGCTGCTAGTGTAATCATTACAACGAGAAAATGAACAGAATGGAGCGATCGTTTGATCGATCGTCACTTTTGTCCTGGCAGCAGCTTGGAATATTTCTCTCTTATCATAACCTTAAATAAGTTATTTTGATTATCTCTCTTTTTTGTATGATTTTTAATGCAGTGTCATAATCGGTTGTATGCCAAATTTTAAGTTGCGATTCAGCTAAACGCAAGATTTTGACTTGTGGTCAAAGGTGAAAGGACAGCCACTATGCTAGCCAGAGCGCTCGGCATATCAGCTATCAGTTAGTAAAGTTCACTCTCACTGATTACGGACAACATTTCTATTCTTTATGAAACTAATACGAAACCGTCAACCCAGGCTTTCATCACCTTTAGTATTTTCAACCACTAATTAGTGACCAACGTACACACATACATATGAGATTTTTTTCTTTCTCTTTTATTTAAATATTTTTATTGCTTTGGTTGCTTGCATCCCAATTTATTCGTTATTACTGTTATTTAAAAAAGGAGTAATTGTCATATTTTTGTCTGTTAATCAAACAAATTTTGTAGTTTAGTTAAAAAAAAAAAAAATTTCATTATTTTTTAAACTAAGGAAAAATTACTTGGTCTCTCGACTTACCGAGCAGCCAAAATTTCTCGACTACTGTTGTATTTAAAAATGAATCCCGAATTGTCAAAGTAACGATCAGTTAATTTATTCTGTTCAAAATGTCTTCTTCTGTAAGTGGAGGAGGGGTTCTTCAAGAAGTTTTGACCGAATAAAATGATGGACTAACTGAAAGAATTTCAATCTATATTGAGCGGAAGCTGAGGGGGCTTTGCACTAAAAAGCAAAAAAATGGCCAGTAAAGCTTGGCTGCACGGCTACTGTAGCTTGTCGACCCAAGCAGCTACTTTCAGGCTAGGTTTTCCTGCGAGCCAAGCAGAATCTGCTTGGCAGCCAAGGCAAATGTGACCAGCCACTAACTGAGCACTGTGTACTTCGGCACATTGGCGTCGGCCAAGCACATTCTGCTTGGCTCCCAGGCTAACCTACCCCGAAAGTAGCTACTTGGTTCGACAGGCTACAGTAGCTGTGCAGCTAAACTATACTGGCCGTTTTTTTTTTCAGTGTGAAACAATGAGGAGGCTGGCAAAGGGTTGAAGATGGGGTCAACGAAACATTCAACCTAATCAAAATAACGAAGACGTTAAGGGTATTATGGGGAAAAATAAATTTCTTACGACAGTTTAAAAAAAATTACAAGGTGTTGGTTTTCATGATGTTAACAACAGATTAAAACTTCAGGAACCGTAGCGTCATAATAGCAAACTTAGGATCTTATAAACAGAAATTCGTCACTCTTAAAGTTCAAGTTAGTAATATTAATTGTAATA